TTCTCATTTATTTTGTAATTGGGAATTGATCTTACTATGCGCAGCCTTAGAATACCAAGCGCGCTACGTATGCACGTTCATAGAGCTCATTCGTTTTCCCCTTCTTCATGGTGAATTCTCTCATTTTGAGGCTAAGTTTTTTGGAAAAACATACCAAAGTAGACAAAAAGATGACTGTCCAATATCATTAAACTCAAGTGCGAATTTGACTCCCAGCTTATTTACAGCTAGCCGGCTGGTCTAGCTGGTCAACTGACGGCTGATGACTAATGCAGAGTTTCACTTTATTTGTTATGAAAAAGTACGAAGCGTCCTAGAATTTCAGATGTATTAAGAACATGCAGCAGAAGTATTTTAGGTGTCACAACTTTAATAACCAACGGAAATTACACATACGACGTCTGCGGCACGTTCGATTGTGTTCTACAATTGCGTTAAAAAATTCTTGATAAAAACAATGAATAATTCTTGAAAAAATAAAATTCATCGGCGCACATACGACTGCTGCTCTCGAGCATAGGCGCTAGGGCCAATAGGGACGGAACCTGAGCGATCATTGGTGCCGCGACAGGCCAGCAAAGAGGCTTCCGTCAGCAAACGTAGGGTACTCAGATCAAGCAAGAAAAACCCAAGACCAACACGGTGGCCTCTGAACGATCGGGAGTGTCCCGGCAGGCTGACATATAGGACCCCGGCCAGAGTACAGGGTCCTCTGAGCATAGGAAATTACCGAAGAACAATGTAATGAATACATGCTCCTATGCGATCAACAGTGGCCAGGCAGGTGAATAGAAAGGGCCGTAATGGGGGCGAGGGGTCCTCCGCCGACGGGATCGAAGGGAAAGAACACCAGATCATTGCAGAGGGCCACTGAGCTCTGAGTGGCTCGGTGCCTTACCTTATTTGGGCCCAAGCAGCAGCACAAGGCCCTCCGATCAAGTGGAATAAACCCGGGATTAATATGAAGGGTCTCTGAGCAACTGATTGCACCCCGGTATATGGGGCCCCGGCAAAAGCGTATAGAACCTTTCGGGCGAATGGGAAAAATCTGTGGGGCGTGGACGGTCCCTGAGCAACCAAGAAAGCCTAGGCATGTTAGCAGATAGTGCCCCAACAGCAGCGTAGGGCCCTACGAGAAAATGTAAAGCGATCATGGGCGACGTGGAAGGCTTCTTAGCGGTCAGACTTACCCGGCAAGGGAACAGATAGGGCCTCAGCAAGAGCGTAACGCCTCGGGGCAGCGTTATGAGGCTCAGAATGTGCCACAACCACCTCTCTCTTAAACGGCGAAAATTAAATTTGCTCACGGGGTCTTCACTTTTGCTTGGGACTTATCTTGGTCGTCTGAAGGCGCAAATACGTCCAATTTTGTTGTGTTCTGTGTTAGACAACTGCGTCCGTTCGGGCAGTCATGGGTCCCTTCGGAGCCTATGGCCCCTCGAGGCAAAAGGGGCTATAGTTTCGCGCCCCTCCCCCCTCGAATCCGCCACTGGCCCCAGCTGTTTAATAGATGGGGCCCCGACAGGAACAAAGGGTCATCCATTTAAATAAGACATACCCACGATACAATGCAGAGGCCCCCGAACGATTGAGTGGGCCGGAGCAGGTGAACGGATAGACTCCCGAAAGGAGCGTAGGGTCCACCATTCAAATAGGAAGAACCAAACACCCAGTGTGGAGTGTCTCCAAAAGATCGAGCATGCCCAAGTATGATATCAGATGATTCCCGACAGGAGCGTTGGGTCCTACGTTCAAATACCAAAACCCAATGTGCACGGCCCCCGAACAATCCAGTGTGCCCGAACAGGCTAACAGATGGGCCCCCGACATGTGTGTAGGGCTCTTCATTCAAATAGGAAGCACCCAAGACAAAATTTGGAGGGCCCCGAACTAACGAGCATGCTGTTGGTTATTTAATCTTAACAATGCGTGGACTGCAATGGTTCTTTGCGCTACCGAGTGCGCCCAAGGAGGTTAACAGGTGGGTCCCCAACAACAGTGCAAGGCCCTAAGCAAGTGACAGAAATTTGGAAGAGTCCTAGACCATTGAAGAGGTCCCGTGAGCATATCGTAAGTACGTCGGTGGGTTAACCGAGATCAACGTGAAAGGCCCCTGAGCAACCGAGAATATCCCGGCAAGTTAACATATGGTACCCCTAGCTATAGCGTACAGAGCTTTTCGGGTGGATGGAAGGAATCGCGGAAGGCTCCTGATTGACAGAGTGCCCCGGCACGCTAGCAGGAAGGAAGAGCCCATCGATAGCGTAGGGCCCTCCGAGATGAAAAGAAATGAAGGGCAACGTAGAAGGCCCCTTAACGATCGGATTGCAGCTATATGTGGACAAATAAACCCAGAAAGAGCATGGGGCCACTGGACAGCATTATGAGCCTTGAGACCTTCCAATCACTACCATTGCAATCAGTGAATAATAATTTTTGCCTACCGGAGGCCCAAAAGCGTCCAATCTTGTTCTCTTGTATACAAAAAGCTGCATCTGTTCGGCCAACTATGTGGCTCCTTTGGAGCTCAAGGGGACATGACCCCGTGCCCCCTCCCCTCTGGATCCGCCCCTGTATGTGCTTGTAGCCTTTGCTGTCTTGCTGCCATCGGAGAAGCGTAATGAAGCGCTGTAAGCGGACGGCCGCGCTCTGGCACTGCAACCGGAGCGGCACATTCCGACGGCCCGCGGTGTTTCCAGAAGCCGGGGCGATGCGCAGCGGACCGGGACGACTGTGGCGGCCTGCGCGACGGCGCTTCCAACTGACTGTGTAGGCGGAGCGGCCGCACGACGGTTTTTGCACCGCGATCACGGCGGGGGGCACCATGGTGGGGACGCTGGCGGGAGGTCCAGTACGAATGTGACTGCTTACCACTTCCCGCACACCGTGGCAAATTAATTTTACGTGTGACCCTCTAACTATTTAGGAGAACGCCTTCCTACACGGTAGATCTGCGCGGAGAAGCAACCCTAAAGATGCGCCGTGGGCGTGGTAGCAAGTACTTTGTACGGAAGCACTCACCTCTGAAAACCACAGCTGGTGACGGTTTTCGCGAAGAGCTGCGTCTGTGAGAGAGCGGTCATGAGTCGATCCCCGCACGACAGGGCCTCGTTAGATCTGTCGTCCGCACGATTGTCAGCTGGAATGCGTGACATTATACGCGCTGACGGAAGCGTTCGATGTGAGGGTGACGGGAACGTTTTTAACTTTACCTTTCCTTTTCCTTTACCATATCACCTTCAAGGATTTGGCATCCCATTGTTAGTAGTGAAAACGACGCAGCTGTTTCGAAAATCTGGTGCGGGCTTATTTTGTTATATAGGTTGGTGTATTTCAGTGTATTCGCAGCGACCCGGGTGATAACACGTCTGAAATGTCAAAAATATCAAAACAAGCAAAAATGACATTCTGAAAGATAATCCAACTTTGTTCAGGCCTATTTGCTTGCATGATGTTGTCTGGGCATAACGTGACGAAGTGTGACAAATTTCCTGAAAGGTAGCTTGCATTGTTTTGGCAACAGCAATCACCAATTACAGACGAGAGAGCTGTTATTTCCGTTATGACGGAATCAAGGAGGGCAGTCTGAGTTTTATTTATTATTCTTGGGCATGATAGGAATAGGTGAATGTATGGGCTGGTCCATTTGGTTGGTTGAAATTAACAATTGTTTGCCAACATCTAAACAATGGGTTTTATTTCATTTGTGATAGATTAGTTTGATTTGCCAAATGGGAATTCAATATACATTATTTTGAAATGAGAGAAATCCAACTTTTGAGGTTTTAAGAAAAATTCACGATATGATCATCAGGGTCCCAGCTATCTAGGAGGGCTAATTTTATGACCAGGGAATCATTGATTAGGGTCAAAATGGCTATGAGTTGCTATTCCAAATTTTTCAATGGCATCACAATATCTTTGCATATAATTGGGAGTGTTAAAAGTAGGCTATCTTTAATTCTCAGTTCCCTTTTGTCAGTGGCAGCTTTGGTAAGATATAGATATCAACATGCCTTAAGGTAAATGATCTGCATTATTGCATGTAGGAAAAACTGGTAATTATTGGCAGAATAAATACAATTCAATTTGTGTGCTCCATGTCTTTAGTCAGGAAGGACTAACTATTGTGGAATTACTTTTGTACACATCATTGCAGTTTCTGTTTGTCCAGGTTCCCAGTGGGATTCTTGTTAACATACCATATTTGGAGGTTGCTTAAAGGCATTGATAAAAAGGAGCTTGTCCAGTTGTAACTCATAGATATTATATCCAAAGAATTGTTTGTTCAGCATTGCACATGCACACTTAAACCCATGGATTACCATGCTCTGTGACCATGGAACAATAATTTTCACCACCCTTTTGTTCAGATGGGTTTTTCATAATACAGTTGACAATTAACTGTGGAGTGGAAATCATTTGGCATGAACAAGGATATGTGGGGTCATGTGTGCACAAGTATTTTACATCTCATGACATCACTACATATAATGCACTCATGTAAAGAAGCATGCATGTGTATGTTTCCCCAAAGTATGGTCCCTTAACACTGTGATAAGATAGAATTGTCAGTTCAAAAAGCAAAACAGCAGTAAATGCAAGGCACATGCAGACAGATCATCTCTCTTTGTTTTTGCATTTTCATGCAAGCACTGTGAAGCTGGTAAGATGAGAATAATATGCTAGCCTAAGTTGATGCTTCTTTTAGTGGAAAATGAATTTTTTTAACCACAGAATGCAAAGCTTTCCATAAGTTGGTTAGCAAAGCAAAGGAATGCAAAACACTCAGAAGTCTCTCTATCTCATAAATGCCTAGTCATCTACTTTAAGGACTCAGGCCAGGAGGCCAAAACTGACAGCTTTCATATCCTGGATAGTGGTTATAGAAAGTGAGGTTCTGATGACAATACCGCTACACAATTTTGCCTTTTATGGAATAACTACCAAGGTTGAAACTGCACTGCCTCAGAATACCATTCCCTAACCCCAGTTTCATCATGCTGCAGGTGCAAATGATGGAGTGGGAGCCAGAGCAGACCAGCTGCCTGACATGCCCACTGTGCCTGCGGTCGGGGTTCGCCTCGCTGGACGCGCTGCTGCAGGCGCTGCAGGCGCTCACGTCAGGTCAGCCTGGCTGTCCTGTGTGCGGCGAGCAGCTGCCCAGTCTGCAGTGCTTCCTACTGCACCTGGCCAGCCACGGCGGCCGCGACCCGGCCCTCGCCGCCCTCCCGGCGCTCTCGGCGCCGCCGCCGGACGGCCAGCTGTACCTGCACTGCTCGCTCTGCCCCAAGAAATTCAAGACGGCCAAGGGTCGCGCCAGCCACGTGCGCTCCAAGCACGGCGCCGAGTGTGCGGCGGAGGGCGTGGCCTGCGCTGTCTCCCCGACGGTGGGCTCTCTCCCAGACCGAGCCGGGCCGCCGGTGGACCAGCCCGCTGCCTCGCCGGCCAGTGGAGCGCCAGGCGCGCCCGCAGCGGTGCCCACTCCTCGGGGCGAGCACGTGGCGGCCCAGACGGCGTGGTCAGCGGGCCCGCTGGTCGCGGACGGAAGTGGCGCTGGGTGCTCGCTGGACGCGTCACGGCGCGTCTTGGACGGGGATGCGCAGGCGTGGACTGTGTCTGGCTTTCCATTGGCATCGCATGGCCAGGCGTTGGACCCAGACGGCCAGGGTCTGTACTTCCATGGCCATACCTTGCCTTCCCCTAGCCAACTGTCATCTTTGGCTCCGTCGCCACATCTACAAGAGCTACCATCTCAGGGTCAACTAGTGCCACCAGCCAGTAATCAGCCATCACCTTTGGACCAGTTGCTGCTGTCTCACAATCAGCAGCGGCTGTCTCACAATCAGCAGCTGCCATCGCAGGATCAGCAGCCGCCATCTGCAGACCAGCTGCTTCCGTTTCATGACCAGCTGCTGCAGCCTTGCGGTCAGCAACTCTCGGCCGAGGACCGGCCGCCGCCAGCTAGGGGGGAGTTGTCGCTGGGGGCCGCGAGCGGCGAGCCGCCGCCGCTGATCCGGCGGCCTGACGGCGCCCGCCGCCTGCGCCGCCTGCTGCAGGCGGCCCAGCACGCCTGCCGCGACTGCGGCCGCCTGTTCCGCCTGCGCGCCGGCCTGGAGGCGCATCGGCGCCTGGCGCACGGCGACGGACCCACCGAGCGGTGCGCCATCTGCCAGCGGCAGTTCACCAGCAGCCGCCGCCTGCAGCGCCACCTCGTCACGCACAACGTCCGCCCGGTGAGTGGTGTCGTGTGACAACGTCGGTTCCGCTGGTGGTAACGTCCGTGAAGTGGTGATGTAGCGACAGCGCTCGACCGCAGAGTGCCGTGACGTAACAAGATGTCAGAAGGGGAGGTGACATGGTAACAGAAGGTGACATGGTAACATCGGACCAGGGAGTAACATGACACCCACTTCTACCCGGTGAGTAACGTGGAAGCGAGTGTCCCCTTATCATACGTGGTCTGGCGTGTTGTGTAGTAGCGAGATGAATGGTGCGATGTGGCTGCTTCTGTCCGATGAACGATGCGATGACAACGCCCGCCTAGTGTTATGCCGCGCGCCGATGTTGCCCACCGCTCGTTCCCATTATTTCTGCCGTGTAGTACTATTTCCTCTTCAAACTTGATCATCCCGAATGCTATATATTATTCTATGCTGTTGCAGGATGCTTCTTCCGCGTCGGACACGAAAACGAAGGAAAGTGCTGAATTTGAGTGTCCTACATGCAAGAAAACATTTACCACTGCTCATTTTCTGAAGAAACACAGCAAACTGCATACTGGTAAGCCAGCCACTGTGTCTTTCATGTCGTCTCATCAGACATGTGGATAAACTGTGATTTTTTATATCAGCCTGCATCTGTTTCCTCTGAGTGCACACTCTTACGGGCCTGTTACTCACTGCTCTATGATAAGCCACATTAAGGCTCTCTGCAAACGTCATTCAGTGGTCATGGCATTGATCCAAGTGATTTTTAGCTCCCAAGTTACCCATCATTATGGCCTGCTTCTGTTGCATGGAAGGTTATCGTCTCATCAGCATGATTTACAACCTTTTAAGGTTTGCTAAGCAGTCACTTTTTCGATGACCTGTAAGCGTCCACGCCTGATTTGTGTTCCTCTTCTCCTCGCTTTGGTTTCGTCTCGAGTGGAGATACATTTTGTGAGTGACACTCTCTCTCTCTATCACTTGGAGTCAGCGCATCACTCTCTGAATCCAGACATCGATGCGAATACCCCCGCGAGATGCAGGGCCGTGGGTGCCGTCATCCACGGCTGAAACCTCGTGCCATCGAAAATTTCCTGCGATGAGAATCGAACCGTGACCTTCCAATCACAAGCCCACCGCGCTGACCGCACGGCCCGGCCCGCAGGGGAGACGCCGTACGTGTGCGACGTGTGCGGGCGCGGCTTCGCGCTGCAGCAGTCGCACCACAAGCACCAGCAGTACCACACCGGCCAGCGGCCCTACGCCTGCCCGCAGTGCGGCCGCGCCTTCCGCGAGTCGGCCACCCTGCAGAACCACATGCGCATCCACTCGGGCGAGAAGCCGTGGACGTGCGAGACCTGCGGTACGCCCGCCCGCCGGGGAGCGATGCGGGGGGGGGGAGGGGGGGGGGGGGGGGGGGTGATGCCGGGTGTCGCGATTGGCCGTGGTTGATGCAGTGATGCACGGAACGTGGCATGTGATATGCTGCTATGATGGTGAAGGGATGACTGTATGGAGGTAGCGGCGGCGTACATGCCGGGATGGGCAGTGCTAACCCAAAGCTGTCATTGGTTTCAAAGCGCTCGTGATGTTTATTTGGCTTAGTGCTTTGTGCCACATTTCCGTAAAGATGTCGAGCGATCCTTTGCCGAAGTGCCGGCCCGTGGGGAGAGGATAACAGTGTTGCCTCACGGTGAGCGCCCTGAGTCGGCGTGCGACCCGACCCGAGCGTGCGAAGAGACGCCGTCACCCAGCCCCCGGCATCGTCTTCGCAGGCAAGTCGTTCCGCCAGCGCATCACGTACGTGGTGCACCGACGCATCCACACAGGCGCGCTGCCCTACACCTGCACCGGCTGCAACAGCGGCTTCCGCTACAAGGTCAGCGACCGGCCGCTGCGCTCGGGCGCCGCGCGCTCGAGGTGGGGCCGCGCGCCGGCCGTGCCTTCCCCGTTCGCCGGGGATTAGCCATGCCCCAGGGCGAGCAGGGGGTGGTCGGCTAGTCACGGTCGGAGCGCGGTCTGGCGCTAGACGGTGGCGCAGATGGATGGTGTTGCAGTCATTGCAGCAGGCCTTCGGTCTCGAATTCGGCTGCAAAAGGGCTAGAACCCCTGCACCCCGTGGCCCTGGTGCAGTCGTGGTAAGGACTTGTGACTGAGGTGTCTGCAAGGTCATCTGTAAAATGTCAGGATAAGCGCATTTCGGTTTCATTTCTCGCGTGTTTGAACAACCTTTGCATGATCGCACCGTTGTGAGACCCTAATTAGCTCAGTGTGCATTCCACTGCTCATCTATAGTCAAGCCATCTCAAACCACTTAACCAATCATGTGCATTCTGGTCTCTTTTCCTTCCACCTATGAAAATGTCTGACGTCATAGGTCACATCACGTCTATAACTGCATGCTCTTCCACAAAGTGGACCCATGTGTGCGGATGCGCTATTTTTTCGTTTGCATTAACCAGACGCGTTTCTAATCGCAGCTGAGTGCCTGCGGAGGCTGAAATTCCGTGCGAAACAGAGGTGAGGATTGCTGTGGGCTTGGACAGATGGGGACCGTATGCCATGTGCCCCGTTGATTTTAATTTTCTACATTGGTGGCATCGCTCGGCGAATAAGTGCTAGTTTCCACCAGACGCCAAAGGAAACGTGAAATAATGTGTGTTCGTGTCTTCGTGAAGCGCCTTAAAAGCTTCGTGTGACGTAGATCTGGTTAAATTTGTAAAATTCGTATAGCTTGAATATTTTTGTTCACTCGGTCTGCATTGAATATTACGTATGTGAAGTCTTTGAAAGATTTAAAGGGTCAGCTGTCAGAAGCTATGGGTTTAGAATGTTTTTAAGGTCACACATGGTGTTTAAGCTCGTCAGAGGTCACTTAGTTTAAGAAGGGTGCAAGTGGAGAAGCTATTAGCAGCTCACGTATTACTGCAATCATCTATTATTCATGTCATTGTGTGGGACATCTCACAATATTTGATTTCCCACGGGCTTGAAATCAGATGCTTTTGTGGGGAAAGAATGCATACGTTATTTGACAATGTGCCAGGCGCAGATCTTCGGTGCCTTCAGTGTTCTGGCACATCGCCACACCATAGTCCCATGCAAATGCGCTCCTTGAATTTCAGGTCAGCCTCCGAGCTCACAAATGCACGGCGACTGAGCCGACCAGTGCCCCGACCCTGGCGCCACCCGAAGGCAGCCCTGCGCCCGACAACTTACAGGCCTCGCCGGCGGCGACGCCATCGTCGACGCATCCACGCCAGCATGTTGCAGCTGGTTCAACGCCAGCGCTGACGAACGAACACGCCGCCCAGCAGAGCATGCCAGCGGCCGTGCTCCTCGAGCCGTCCGTGTTTCCGTTCGTCGCCGAGCAATTCCCACTGGAGGACGGACTGGCAACGAACACCGCCCCGGTCCACTCAAGCGGACCGCTTCCCGCCGCGGTCGGCACGCCCACTCGTCTCGCAGCGGCGGGCGTGCCGGAGGGGCCGTCCGGCCAGCAGCGCTTCCGGCCCAAGGTGTCGCGGATGCTGCTGCACCGTTTGGTGCAGAAGCTGCGGGCGCGGCGCGCGCGCGCCGACGGCCTGCCGGAGGCGTCGGCGCACCGCGCGTCGTCCCCGGGCGCCGCGGCCGCGGCCGGCGCCGATCCGTGCGGCGCGACACCGGGGCCAGGGCGCGCCGGCGCTCCTCTCGACGTCGCCGCGCCCCGGCCGGACGAGCCGTCCGGGATGGTCGTGGCGGCGAGCGGCGTGCTGCTGGAGGAGCTCGCGTTCGCGGCGCCGCCGCCGGCGGTGGAAGCGCACGCGCCGGCGGCGCCGGACATCGACCTGCAGCAGCTGTTCGCGTTCCCGGTGCCGGAGCGGCCGGCGCTGCTGTCGCCGCTGCACCAGGCGATCGAGAGCGTGGCGCGCGAGCTGGCCAACATCCCGCTTAACTCGCCGCCGCCGCCGACCGTCGGCGAGTCGGCCGAGGCGCCGCTCGAGGCGAGGCCCGCTGGCGGCGAGGCGGCGGCGGCGGGGCGTGATGCGGAGGCGGAGGGCCCGACCGTGGGTACGGCGCTCCCGGCCGCCGACGGCGAGCAGCCCTGCGACCTGGACATGCTCCTCAGTCAGCTGTTTGATGAAGACTAGCCACTTGGTCGCCTGCGGAGTGGTCTGACAGACGGCAGCGGAGCTGCACGACATACTTCCTCGGTGATGTGGCTTGCGTGCTGTTTCGAACGGTGGAACCACGGCGTGGCGAGTTCAGGCCGTGGACTGAGCAGAAGTAGAGCCATTGGGCTTGGGCAGTTGCAATCATAACTGCGAGCTTGTGCCAGTCTAGTCAACTCACCATGATTGCCGAAGTAGTCAGGGATTGCAATCATAATTGCGAGATCGTATTACTACTCTAGTCACCACATCTTGCGTGCTTATTGTTTCGAGTTGCACCTTACGCTTGTCTGCACTTGTAGTGCTAAGACATGGCATAATTTTGCTGGCAGCTTGCTTCAATGAATACAGTTGAGGTGGTATTTATATTTTCCTCTGATCTTCAGTTACTCGTGTGCGATGTTGTGCCGTGTTGTGAGCTTAGTGCGCTAATATAGGTCCGTTTTATAGTGCTTGTTCTTTGGCAACTGCCGCTCACTGGTGATGCTGGTACGCCTCAGTACGACCTTCATTGGCATGCGGCCCCCCGGGAGATCTTTTTCCTGGCCCGACCGCCGCCCTTCGACACCGATGGTGGCGTTCAGTGTCCCGAGGACCACGCGAAAGCCATGCCGTGGATCGCGCGGATGGAGCGGCGCCTGACACGGACCACTCAGTGGTCACGTGCCGCAGGGTCAGTCAGTGGTGTCCGAGTCTGCCTGTCTTCGTCATCAGGCCACATGATGACCTGATGCACTCCGTGATCAGTCGTACCACCTACACGCACTGGTACCGCACGGCTGGTAAGCTGTACCGAGGCTCCGCGTCTGATGGTGAGAGTTCCGGCGTGCGTTGAATCCCGGCGTTTTGCTGGCACTGTCGAGAATGACGTTCTAGGGTTTGTGCAGACGGGGATCGTTCTCACATGTCAAGCCTGGCGGGCCCTGGCGCGAAGTGACGCTTTAGAGAAGTGATGTGCTATTGCCGCTTTTGCTGGGCAACGCAGGGCTAATTTTCGACAGGCTAGTTGGTATGCATGTGAGACATGATTTACGCCCTGGAGTAAAATACGGAATGTGGAAAACGGAGCGAGGTACTGGGAAACGCCAGCTTAGACTAGGATATCGACCATCAGCGGAAACCTCAAACTCGGAGACTGTGTTTCTGTGCGGGGCTTTACAGCTAAGTAGCACTAATTTGAAGGCCGACTGCAACTCAGAAACAGTCCGAAATCGGCTCTCAAACTTTAAAGTTCCTAAACCACTTCAAGCGTGGGTGTGGAACTTGAAGAACATACAAAAACGATTACACAGCTGCGCTAAAAGGCTAAGTTACTTCCACGTTCGCACGGCACTGTCAGTAGTCTGACGCGGGACTAGAACCAAACATCTCAGCGCTTTCACGGCAGTTTATTTATCATCTGCATAAATAAGAACAGCACAAGATAACATTCCGGACGAACACTGCACCTACGACGTGCGATACAACGGGGCCCAGTGACGGATGGTGAAGGGAGTCCTCTCCGCGCGTGGTGCATACGTCACCGTGAACAAACGTCCAGCCACCCCAGCTCGCTCCTGAGACCACTCGAAGGCGCTTGCATCACTTCGGACCTACCGCAGGGGCCCACAAGCCAGTGAGGCGGCACGGGCGGACCGTACCGCTGCATGCACGAGCGCAGGTCGCCCGGAGGGGGCGCACACTTATCACTGGCCACCCCGCCCTGCACCGCGGACGGCGCCCCGCATAAAACAAGCTCAACCGCTGCTGACTAGATGAACCGCGCGCCCACGGTGGCGCCACCTAGCTGCCTGTGCCACGCCGGCGCCGCCCACCCGCCACCCCCGGCGTCCGCCGGTGGCGCCACGCCTAGCTGGCGGCGGCGCGCCGGAAGCTGCCCGACCGGCCCAGCTGCCCCGGCCGCAGGTCCACCACCAGCACGGTGATATTGTCGAGCGAGCCGCGCTGGTACGCCAGCAGCGCTAGGCTGCGCGCGCCCAGATCCGGCTCGTGGAGACGCGCGCGCACGTGCTGTACGGCCTCCTGGCCGCTGGCCGCGTCCCAGAGGCCGTCAGAGGCCAGCAGCAGGAACGGCGCCGCGTGGTGGCGCACGCTCACCGTCTGCACGTCCGGGCGGCACGTGAGCAGGCGCCGCTCCTTGAACGGCAGATCGCCCAGCGCGCGGCTCGTCGCCAGGATGCCGTTGACACGCCACACGCCGTTGAAGGTGACGAAGCCGCCCGCCTCCGTGATGCGCTTCTTCTCGGTCAGCTGGCGGGAGAAGGGAGGGAGGTCAAAGGGGGCGCGGTGCACGGCAGCTGGAGGGGGACATGGGGTGGGGGTGGGGGGCAGGGGAACGGCGCATGAACAACTGAATGAGAGGAGGTGAAAGGAGGACAGGCGATATGTCAGCCAGCGGAAGGGAGGGAGGCCTGGTGGAAGTGAAAGGGCATCTGGCGCATGATAGTGAGAGGGCGGTCCGACGCCCCCTCACTGGCGCAGGGGGCCCGGCCTCAGACCACGGACAGGATATCGGTCAAGCTTGCAATGTTGCAAGGTTGACAAGATCGCAGAGCTTGCAAAGGCGAAGTGAGGTCATGGGGAACTACGTATGGGGGCACCGAGTGCCACCTGCTCACGTGATAGTAATCGATTAAGGTACGTGACCTGGCACGGTCTAACGACACACATAGCACCTGAGCGATGACCTTTGCAAACAGAGCATCAGCACGCTGTGGTGGCGCCTGCCATCACAAATCGATTCCAAAGGACGATCATAAGCAGAGCCCAGATTATGAGAGCCAAACCGCACCCACGACCAACGCACCAAAAACTGCTGAGACATCGCGCCATCGATTCACACTGGCTCTCAAAAAAAAACCGACAAATGCTGTCAGTCTCGCCGCGCCGCCGTCCCTCTCGCGGCGGGGTGGGGCGCGCCCGCACCTGGTCCGGCTTGTGGTCGGTGGTGAGCGGCACGGCGTGGCCGCGGGCGTCGCAGAGCACGGCGCGCGAGTCGCCGCAGCTGGCCACCACCACCTGGTCGCCGTCCACCAGCGCCAGCACAGCCGTGGTGCCTGCGGCGAGGCCGCGCCGGCGAGTCATGTGACGGCCGTGGCGGGCGCCGCCGAATGCGAGGCACGGCGCGACCGGCAGCCGCGACAGTGGTCCACAAGGTAGCCGACCCCAGCGGCGTCGGGGCGAGGATCTACGGAGAAGGATGGCCACTGTCCACATCAGACACGCGTCATCCGGCGTAGACAGGAAGCGGTGGAAACTGCCTCCAGGTGTAAGCGAGCAAACTGAAGACATCGTATACTGCTTGCCACCGCGCAGCTGGCACGAAAAGCCACGCAAGTAACCCACCACAAGCCAGCGAGCAAACCCCACACCCGGGCTTCCATCCCCCCCTTACGCGCCGGGCTCGTACACGTGCCCCAATCGGCAGACCGTATCACGGGGTGCTTCCAGAACGACCGCACTCACCGGCGATGCACGCCTCGCGCCGCGCCGCGTCCAGCAGGGCGGCGTCCACCTCGCTGAACACGTCCTGCATCACCTTGGTGTAGTTGATCTGGCCGAAGAAGTTGACCAGCATGTCCCCCTGGGCGGAGGCGCTGCGCCGCGGGCTGCGCGTGCGCTGGTACGCCTCGTGCGACTTGCAGGAGCCCAGCGTGGCGCCGGCCGACTCGCGCTCGCCCTCCGGCTCAGGCTCGGCCGGGGATATCGATATAGAGACGCGGGCGGACGACTCGACTGCCGGAGAGGCGGCGGACGGAGTGGCGGCGGTGGCTGGCTCGGCGGCAGCGGTGGCCGGCTCGGCGGCAGCGTCGGCCGACTCGTCCGGGTCGGCCGGCTCGCCCACGTCGGCCGCTCGGCCCCGCTGGACGTGCACCTCCAGCAGCTTGGCCTTCAGCGCCTCGATCAGGTGGTCCTTGGTGTACTCGGCCGCGAACTGAAACGAGCGGTGAGGCGGTAGGCGGGCGACCGCCCGGGCCGGCTTCGTGCCATGGTCTGGTGTGCTGGAGCTCGTCTGGTTACCGATGCGACCGACACAATCGACACGAATAACGACACGAACACGTCCTGGGGACATGTTCGTTCGTGAGCGCAGTCCTGGCAACGTTTCACATATGGATTTTCAATTCAAATGCTGCCGACTTCATCAATGACCGATCCCGAAAACCCGTCTGAGAATGAATTACCACACTGAAAACGGCCAAAACGTGCTCGAACGACACGCTGCGATATTCGCACCAATCAGCAGCGCACCTCCTCGAGGGGCCGACACGGCGTCACGGCCGCCCCGCCACTCACGTCGCCGCCGTGTCCGTCGTACACGGCGTAGATGGAGAGTCCGCGGCCGTCGCGCTGCTCCTCGCCGGGCGCGCGCGCCCCGAGCGCGATCTCCTCCTCGGCCGCGAACCGGTCCTCCATCTTGGAGCGCAGGCCCTGGATGGCGAAGGCGTGGCCGCGGCGGCCGCACCACTCGAGCGGCGGCGTGTCGCCGCACAGCGCGTGCGCCATGTCCTGCACGTGGCGCGCGCCCGGCAGCGTGACGCGCGCGCTGAGGGCGCGCGCCGCGCGCGCCAGACACTCGAAGCACCGGTCGTTGATGAGCAGCGCCAGCAGGCCTATGGCCAGCAGGACGCCCAGCATCTCGGGCCGCAGCATGTGGATCTCGATGAAGAGCAGCACGTACTCCAGCACGATCAGCAGCCGCTCCCACAGGGCGGACGCCGTACGCAGGAGCAGGTGCGCATGGCTCATGAAGAAGCTCTGCAGCACCTCGCACTCGATGGCGTCATCCATGGTGTTCAGATGTGAGGTGTTTGTTCAAAGTGCTTTGTGCTTCCTATGGTCGACTGTTGATGCACTCTCAAACACGTTTTGCAGGCGCTGTTGTGGAGCCCTGCATGTCACTGAGGTAAGAAGCAGCTGTAAAATATTATTACTTTCCAAGTTGGATGGCTCTCTATTATCACGCACTTGGTTTTCTCTGTTTCAGATTTAAGTGTAGCTCCCTCATAAGAGATTACATAGGAGCACTGAACCCATGGTCTGGCATATAACCTTACTGTCCAGCCACCAATCTTCAGGTTCAAGAAGCCTTTCAAAACAGCTTGCTTCCATGCATGCTTCTCCTCAGCCGTCCTGTAAAAAACAAAACACATGCTATGACCAACAATGCACATTATGGACATAGATAAAGCAGAAGTAATAGCCTTATTCCTCACAGAAAAAACAGGACAATAGAGATATAGATGGTTTGATATTTTGGCAACATACCTTTATTGAAACAACAACAGAAATTTATTAACTTCTGCTTTTGTTTTGCTAAAGGCATATCACCAAAATATCAACCCATTTATATCTCCATTCTCCCAGTTTTCTCTGAGGAATACTACTATCACTACTGTTGGTATCTCTGCAAATAAGAAAAGCACAACACATTACCCAGGTGAAGAGTCTAACCCAATAAACCCTGTGACACAATAAGCACAGCATGACTACACCCCACTTAGTGCTCTGTTAAAGCACTTGCTGCAGGTGACACCAGGTATGATCTACAGTGAAAATGATCTACTCATGAGGTCAGCAACCAGTTTTGGTGTAAATGCAGATGTGCATATTAGTGTGAGGGTTTAATTTTTGCTTAGGAGTGTAATGTGCATGTATAGAAATGCTTGAGTATGGATAGGTACCACATGCCAATGGGTTAGTTAGCTGGTGTCACACCTGGGGTTGGTTTAGGTGACACATACCAGGGATAAGGGCTGTTTATTGGTGTAATGTGCTGTTTTAAAGACAAACTTAAAGTGTCAACATATGCAAATATGCTTTTAAAGGTGGGCATACCATTACACATGTACGGTTTTTCTCCACTGGTGACCTTGGTTCTGTATCTTGTGTAATGCATCTTCATGCCTTGAAAGAAAAATTTTGGTACCCTTCAACCATCAGTATCAATCAGTACCTTCAGAGCAACAGCTTGCCCAGAAAGTTACAGATCAGCTTTATGCCACTTGAGATTTGATGCCTTTACAAGCTTTGACTGGGGAGAGTGGACTATGAGCTCAAAAGAATAAGAGTAGCTAAGATACACAACTAGGAGGACACCCCATCAGCCATGCAACATGCAGGATAATCATTGATATGTTGGCCGCTCCAACACCTGAAAGATGTCCTCATTTGATCTCCAATTCATTGAACAAAAATATAAAGAAGTTAGGATTCCCAAGCATCTCATCCTTGGTGATGCAAATCGAACAAAAAAGTACACAAAATGTACTCAGGCCTCATTATACAAGCAGGGTTTTCAGAAAAATTTGTTTGATGTTCAAATACAGTACAATTTAGAAGTACATATTGCTCTACTGCCAACTGAAAGATCCATCCTGTTTTACATACCACTACAGAGCCTGAAGTGTGGCTGACCAATTTGGACAATCTAACTCCAGGCCCACAGATGGCATGTTGATCCACATTAAGCATTATTGAAAATGGTTGATGTGACAATGCAAACAGTTTTGGATATAGCACAGATTTAACTAAGCATGCATTTTCCCATAAAGTGCTTTGTTTGGTAGTGTTGCTTTACAATACATAACAAGAGGAATTACACAAATTCAACCTGTCTTACATCTCTAAAAGATCAATTAGTCATGTCATCTTCCCTAATGAAGACAATGCATTAACAATACAATATGTGCAATTAGGACCTAGAGCACAGTCATTCAAGGAACTTATCATAACCTGATATGGCAAAGTAACTTAAGTTTAGCAGGTTGTATTAGGTTAGCACTGTGAGCTAGTGTGCTGATAATCATCAATCTTTAAAAGAACAAGAATTGCGAGACAAGAGACTTGTGATAAACTTGTATGAGCAAGCATAATATCAATAGCATATCTCTCTTTTGATTATTATCATTATTAATGGAAGTCTCTATCATGGAATTAAATAGGCACTGACATGATGGTAATAGGCACTTCATACACAGTAACAGGCAATAGGCACAGACTAGTAGGTCACAGGCACATGGTGTGACATGGTACCTGTATATAATGGGGCTCCTGCAAAGGATCAAACTATTTCCTCACAAATATTGTGATAAATATTTAGCAAAATGGCCTGGCACCATAAATAAAGTGTTGTAAACATGCAAAGAATCATAGGTCCCTAGAAGAACAATTGCATTAACTACAACCTATTTGAAGTATTGTGGGGATTTAGAACAGACACCCCTGCAGTCATATTATTTAACCAAATCTTGTTACCTTAATATGTAAAATGTTACTTCTGTAATGCTGCATAAAAAAATGAGGAAAATGAATGCCTACTTGACATGTTCCCCAAGTAGCTGAATTGATTATGTCTTCTGGCATCATGTCAAGCTTACTGGGTCAGGGTGTACTTTCCTACCTAACATCAGAAAAAATCATTGTACACCATTCATTGTGTTTAAGGCAGGACCTATGGCAAATAATCACAAAACAGGTAGATTCATGCTCTTACCTTCAATTTTTTATAATTACGAAGGCGAGCTCCCAAGCGCCGCACACACACAGCAGCCGCGACGCCGGCGCCATTACTGTGCGCGGTCACAACATTACTGTGCATCAAGCAGCATCAAGAACCATAAATATGTAGGGGCCAAGGTAACAAGAATCCATGAAATTTGAGGGGGATTGGGTGGGGAATGTAAAGCATAATGAGAACATGGTGGCTAAATAAAAGCTCACTATACAGTACCTATATATGGCATGGAACATGGATGCCAATGGGATGCTGGCTTGAAGGGGATATAGGGTGGGGAGATTAGGTTAGGTTAGGTCAGGTTCAGTTTGGTTTGGTTCAGTTCAGGGTTGGGTTGGGTTAGGTTAGGTTAGGTTAGGTTAGGTTAGGTTAGGTTAGGTTAGTTAGGTCAGGTTGGGTTAGGTTGGGTTAGGTTAGGTTAGCTGAGCTTAGGTTCTGGTCTATTCTTGGTTCGGTCAGGTCAGGTCAGGTCAGGTCAGGTCAGGTCAGGTCAGGTCAGGTCCAGCCGGGCCGGGCCGGGTCGGGTCGGGTCAGGTCAGGTTAGGCTAGGCTAGGTTAGGTTAGGTTAGGTTAGGTTAGGTTAGGCAAGGTAAGGTAATGTTAGGTTAGGTTAGGTTAGGTTAGGTTAGGTTAGGTTAGGTTAGGTTAGGTTAGGCTAGTTTAGGATATGTTCTGGACTATTCTGGGCTGTGTGTTTCATAAACATACCTAAACATGATAAGAAACAAATTTCACTGCATTATTACTGTTACCTTGGTCCTGTACACTTTTTATGGTTCTTGATAAGCAGAAATGTTGTAATTACACAACGCAGAAACGGTGCTGGGGAGTCGAGGTGGTGTGGTATGTGCAGCGCTCAGGAGCTCGCTATCATATTTATTGAAATTTGAAGGTAGGAGCATGATTCTACCTGTTTTGAGATTATTTATGATACATTCCGCATTAAACACAACAAATGGTGTATGCTGATTTTTTCTAGCGTTAGGTAGCAAAGTACACCTACACCGCTTACTGTACAACATAAGGTCCACATAATTTTAAAAGAACAATCACATGATGACCTAAAAAGACCAGGCACACCTCATTTGAGCAGGTATTGGCAGGAGAATCATGTGTCATGCATACATGTTGATACCACTTCAGTACCTACCAACAATTGCAACATTACACAGAATGCCTGACAGCAATCAAGAAATAGGCCAGATTACAAGAGCAACACATGTTACACTGCAAATGTTTGGTGCACCTTTCACACCTCAACGGCACGATCGCCGCATACATACTGTAAACCACAGAGCTTGAGTTTGGTGCAGTTACCAGATTACAGCATGTAGAGGGGAGGGTTTTGAAGCATATGTCTATTTTTTAATCATTTCTTCAAGTAAAAATATCCCTACAGGATTTAGAGCAAGAATAATTTGAGCTGGCCAGAAATTAGTGCACTAACGTCGGGTACGCGTGCGGCGCAACGGATGAGCTTTTACAGACATGTCAACAGACAGCATCTCCCTATCAAGTAAGGCCAATAAATCCAAAATAGGTAGAAGGCCGCACGCCTAAACACATTTTTCGCATCATTTCCCCATTCGCATACCAACCTCAGTTCACTGATCGATGGCTATGCGGCATATCATTGCCCTCCCGCACTGAGGCTCGTCTTACCCAAAGCTGTCAATGTTTGGGCTGACATTGCAATGTATCCAATGCGTGACGATCACAACGCTCGTTGTAGAAAACAATTGCTACCATATTGTCTCCAGATCCCGAGAGGTAGAGGGAACACTGAAAAAAATGTTGCATGAAGCTGGGCAGAAGATCATCGGTCTAATTCTACCTTTGAACGGATTTATCCGGTAATTCGTCCATTATGCATACTTATATTAGCTTTTATTGCAGCTTTAGGCGGTTGACATTGTGCATTGGAAAACCTAATTTCTGCTGGCATGCTTCTCGTTACCGCAATGTAGTAAAAAAAAGAAAGCAATTGGTA